TGCTGCTTGGCCTGCTGTGTTCATCCAGCCCTGCACCTTGTTGTCTCAGTACATTTATCAGTTTGTTACGTTCTTTCTGCTAGTGCCTCTTCATTAACGAAGGAATTTCTTGACTTGGGTCTATATCTTTACCAACAGATCCTGCTGACTTACGATGGCGGGGTAGTCTGTGGCGCCGTTTTACTCAATCCCCAGTGGGTTGTCACCGCAGCTCACTGTTTGCATGGTAAAAAACTGGAATTGTTTCATATCATTGCAGGTATGTTGTTCAAGTGGAGCTCGTTTCATTTGGGATTCTCTTGTCGGGTTTTGATTGGTTAATGATGGTGCATTTGAGATCAGAATGGTTTGGGACACTATTATTGGGATCAAAATGCTTCGGACTGGTGTATTCAGGATGACAATTGTTTGTGTTGGTGTATCAGAAGTAGTTTGAGACAATGGTTTTGGGATTAGAACGGATAAGATGGTCTCCTCATGATCAGAGTGGTTCGGGAAGGCGTATTCGGGAAGGTGTATTCAGGATCAGAGTGTTTTGGAATGGAGCACTCAGGATCTCAGTTGTTTGGCATTGAGTTTTTGGGATCAGAATGTTTTGTGATGGAGTATGTGGGATGGAATTAGTTTGGGATGGTGTATTTAGGATCAGAGTAAATTGTGATGAAGTATTTGGGATCAGAGTGGTTTGGGAGAGTGTAATCCAGACCAGAGGGATTCTGGATGGTGTATTTGGGATGAAAGTGGTCCGGCATGGTGTGTATTTAGGAACAAAATGGTTTTGGATTGTATTCTCAGGGACAGAGTGATTTGAGATGGCATGTTTGGGATAAGACTGTTTCAGAATGCTTTATTCGGGATCAGAGTGGTTTTGGCTTGTGTATTCATGATCAGAGTGATTCAGGGTGGAGTATTTTGGGATGTGATTCATTTTGGATGGTCTAAATGAATTTACATTCGAGTGGATTCTGCCCTGAGTGTTCTGCTATATTTGTTCTGAAGAAGAGTCATGCTGGACTCAAAATGTCAACTCTGTTTCTCTCTCCACAGTTGCTGCCAGACCCACTGAGTTTCTCCAGCAATTTCTGTTTCTCTTTCGCTTCCACATTTCTTTTCCCCAATAAAAGTCTCAGACAACTGCCTGAGTTTGCTCAAATACAATCACAGTTAAATGGGTTGCAAGTGAAGTTTGGCCTGTGAGGGGTTGATGTAGGGAGCCATATTTTTAAGGTGAGCGGAGAAAGATTTAGAAAGGACAAGAGAGTCAACTTTTACACACAGCAAGTGGTTCACGTGTGGAATGAACCTCTAGAGGAAGTGGTGAATGCAGGTACAGTTATAACTTTAAAAGACATTTAGATAAGTACATGAATGGGAAAGGTTTGGAGGGATCTGGGTCAAGCATAGGCAGGTGGGACTAGTTTAGTTTGGGATTATGGTCAGCATGGACTGGTTGGGCCGAAGGGTCTGTTTCCATGCTGTGTGACTATGACTGTGACTTTTGCTGAGCAGAAAGGGTTATGTTCCATTTCCTCAAGTTGTAAAGTGAAAAGGGATGCAAAATGAAAACAATGACCTCTCTCTTTCTGAAGGTGAACACTTGCTCGAGACGGAAGAAGGCACTGAACAGGTGAGGAACGCATCCCGGATGATCCTACACGAGAGGTACAATGCAGAAACCATCGACAGTGACATTGCACTGCTCCAGCTCAGTGATCCCATCGAGCTGGATGATTATGCAGTCCCGATCTGTTTGGCGGAGCGGGATTTTGTCTTACGGGAGTTGAACAGAATCCGGTACTCCACGGTGACTGGCTGGGGGAGGCTGTACGGTGCAGGGATCATAGCGTCGACACTGCAGAAGCTCCAGATCCCGAAGGTCCGGACCTCTGAGTGCCGCCGGACGACAGAGAGAGAAATCACTCAGAACATGTTCTGCGCAGGTTACCAGGACGCAATGCTGGACTCATGTCGAGGAGATAGCGGGGGACCACTGGCCACACCCTACAAGGGCAGCTGGTTTTTAACCGGCATTGTAAGCTGGGGAGAAGGGTGTGCCCGTGAGGGGAAATACGGAGTTTACACAAAAGTATACAAATTCATCGAGTGGATACGGCAGTATGTAAATCAGGGCAGGCCAACGACCAGCCCAACTGTGTCGGAGAACCGGACTGAATCGATGAGATAAATGGTAAACACTTCTCAAACTACCTTCATGCTGTTTTTGAGACAAATGTGAAATACAGGATTGTAATGTTTCATCACGAGAATTAAAATCACAAAGTGTTGCAATTCCAGCTTCCGATTGAAGTCCTGTCAAATTGTGCAGATTTTCTACACTATTCTACACAGTTTTTCATTCGAAATACTCTCGGAGTGGAAAATAAAGACAAATGGTGATTTGAAATGAGAAGCAGGTAAAGGGGTTATGGTCTTCCTGGAGACTGTGGGGAGTTCCATTTTCCTCACAATAGGTCACTCACAATAGGTTTGAGGAGATCACAGCTACAAACTGCTGTAGAAAGGGTCAGACAAGCAACTCTTCCTGCACAGAAAGAGGCCATTCAGCCCATCATGCTAGGTTCTATTACATAGTGCCAATGTTCCCCATAGCCCTACACACCATTTCTATCCAAATAACCAACCAATAACCCTCAATCAAACTTGCCTCCACCACATTTCCATACTTGCTGTGTGAAAAAGATTATTCTCACATCACCCTTACTTTAAATCTCATGCCACTCTCACTATTCCTTTTACAAACAGGAACTGCTTCTCCCCCCACCCACTTATAGTTTCGAAATCCTCCATCAAATCTCTTTTCAGCTTTCCTCTCTCCCAGGAGGACTGTCCCAACTTCTTCAATTTATCCTCATCACTGACGTTTCTCATCCCTAGAACCATAAATCACCTCTGCACTCTGTCTCCAATGTATTCATATCTTTCCTATAAAGGGGCTCCTAGACTGTACACAATACTCCAGCTGGGGTCTAACAAGTGTCTTGTACAAGGTCAACATCACCTCCCTGCTCCTGCACTCAATGCCCCCATTAATAAAGCTGAGGACACTGTATGCTTTATTAACTGCTCTCCAGCTGTCTCCTGCCGCCTTCAGTGATCTGTGCATGTGTACACCCAGGTCCCTCTGCTTGTGCACCACCTTTAGAATTGTATCCCCCCATTTTAAATTGTCTTTCAGTGTTCTTCTGAACAAAATGCATCACCTCACATTCACGGTATTGAGCCACCTATCTGTCCACTCCACCAACTTGTCAATGTCTTTTTGGAGTTCTACACTGCCCTCCTTACAGTTTACATTCTCCCAAGTTTAGTGTCATCCACAAACTTCGAAATTGGCCCCTACGCATTAAGATCCAGTTTATTAATATGTATCAGGAAAAGTAAAAAGATCCTAAAACTGACCCCTGGGGAATGCCACTGCGAACCTTCCTCCAGCCTGTAAAATATCCATTGAACATTACTCTCTGTCTCCTGTCACTCAGCCAGTTATATATCCACTGACCCTTTTATACCATGGCCCATAAACTTTCCTCACAAGTCTGTTGTATGGCACTGTATCAAACACCTTCCAAAAGTCCATGGATATCACATCAATAGAATTATCCTCATCAAGCCTTTCTGTTAACTCTTCAAAAAGCTCCAGCAAGTTAAACTCCATTTTTCCTTTAGAAATCCATGCTGACTCTTTTTAATCAACCTATCTTTTTCCATGTGCTTTTTCTCCCCACCACAAAAGTCAAGTTTAGCAGCTGTGATGGCTTATGCAGTCGAATATTTGGAGCTTGTTGCACAATTGGAGGAGTGAATGAAGACTTTCTTGCTCTGCTGTTACGGTACTGCAGTTTTTAGCAATCCCGTTCAGTACAGCATTCCTTTAGCTACCCCTTAGCCCCAGAGGTCTGTCTGTCCCCCGTTTTTATTTCAACATGTCTCCTTAATGATGGTCGGGTTGGCTCTCCTGGGGACACTGCAAAGAAATGACTGTGCTCAGCCAGACATTGATACAGGTCAAAACCTACAAACAGCCCAAGCTGTTGAATCATGTTTCCATGCTGGGGATTATGTTTGCACCGGTAGGGAGATAATATATATCTTTTGGGCTGGGTCTTTCAGCTTTTTTGGCTTGGAGCAACTCCATAACCATAAGACCATAAGGTATAGGAGCAGAATTAGGCCATTCGGCCCATTGAGCCTGCTCCGCCATTCCATCGTGGCTGATATGTTTCTCAACCCCATTCTCCCTGCCTTCTCCCTGTAACCTTTACCAATAAAGAACCTATCTATCTCTGTCTCAAATACACTGAACGACTTGGCCTCCACAGCCTTCTTTGGCAAGTTCTGTGGAAGGACTCTCACCGCGAGCGGAGTGGATTTTCCCACCACATCTTACCAAACATGCACAGTAACTGCCATTTGAGTCTTCACAGTGAGAATCACATCTGACTACCACCCCACCTTACTTCGCTCTGTACCCAGAGTGACTCAACACCAACTGATAATTGACTGGCATCCCTGGCACCGTGTTTAAAAGCCTGTTATGCACCCAGGCACGCTCTGTCAGCCCAGAGCTGCTCTGCACGGTTCGTGACATTTGCTCCCGAACGTGGCAGACAGAGGATTACCAAGGGCCCTATTATTTTGGCTGGGAGCTGGAGGGTCCTGCTGGATCGTCTGGTGTACAGGCAGGTCTAACAACGACGAGTCAAAATACAGAAGGGACATAGACGGCTTGGTGACGGGGTGCAATGAGAACAACCTGTCTCTCAACGTCAGCAAAACTAAAGAACTGATCATCGACTTCGGAAAGAAAGGAGAACACGCCCCCATCTACATCAACAGAACTGAGGTTGAGCGAGCGAAGAGCATCAAGTTCCTCAAAGTGACGATAACTGACAACCTGTCCTGGACTTTCCACGTAAATGCGACAGTCAGGAAGGCACAACAACGCCTCTTCTTCCTCAGGAAATTTGGCATGTCCATAAGGTCCCTCACCAACTTCTACAGATGCACCATTGAAAGCGTACTGTCCGGGTGCATAACGGCCTGGTCTGGAAACTGCTCTGCCCAGGACCGTAACAAACTACAGAAGGTGGTGTACACAGCCCAGACCATCACGGAAGCCAGCTTTCCACCCATGGACTCTATTTACACGGCTCACTGCCGCAGAAAGGCTACCAACATCATCAAAGACCATCGCTCCCCAGTAATAACCTCCTACAACTGTCAGTGGGAAGATACAGAAGCCTGAACACATGCACCAGCAGATTCAGGAACAGCTTCTTTCCAGCTGTTATCAGACTGCTGAATGGACTCTAGCCTCAAATAATGTAATCTGCAATGTAACCTGTCTGCCTCTCAGTTTTTTTGATCTGTACATCCTTTGCTTGTTGTGATCCGCTCGTAAACAAAGCTTTTCAATGTATTTCGATACACGTGACAATAAAATCAAACAATCTTCCATGTCCCCCAGGACCAGCATTGGAGGCCAGACTGTACCAGCTTGCTCCAAAAATGCCCACCAGGCTGGAGGAGTCTCACCGTCTGGAGGAAGGTAGCCAATAATCTTCCCCATTCTCCCAATGTCAGTGTCACCGTCTTGTCTCTGCTACCTCTGTTCCTGTACCCATCTCCCACCATTTTTCATGCTGTACCACTCTCACTATTACTTGCAACATCACCTTCATTCATGTTAACCATCCTAATACCACTGACCCTGCGTGCTCTCTGCGCTGCCCACCCACTCACTCGGGACACCTCCCCAACCACACCAACGGGAACCCACTTTCATCTCCCATAATACCTGCCTCTCTCTCAACCCAGGAGGAAATCAGCCCACAGTCAGGCAGAAAAAGGCACTGAGTGGTAGGCTGCCCAGTATTTGGCACCTCCCTCCTTACATGGAGACCATCCTGACTCTAACTGCCCCATATGGTTGACTGACAGCAGTCCAGGGGCTTAGACACAATCAGAAGCTGCCCTTGACTTACTGTGCCAGGATCCTCTGACCAAAGACTACGTCTTGGAATCTGTCTGAGGCCTGCCATAAACCATGACAAGCTTCCTGGTTTTGTGTCTTCGCTAAACGACACGGCATTGCAAATAATATTGTGAGTCTGGCTGAGTAACAAGGAACTAAAAGGCAAAGCAAGGCTTGGAGTGAGTGAGCGGTATAACAGCGCGCAAAGGGCCCAGAGATGCAGCCTGGTCCAGCCCCTGAGCTGGATGAGTGTGCCTGAGCGCCCAGTGTCCTTGCTGCAGTGATACAATCATAGTTGTATTGAAGTGCAGAACTACCCTGTATATGAATTGGAGATGTGCCCATGAGGGTTTATAGAAGCTTTCACATGTCAGATGCCAATGTCTGTGGAGTATGTCCTGCCAATGACCATGGAGAGTTGGTGTCCAGTGTCAAAACCTAGAGACTGTCAAATATTCCTCATGGCTAGTTTTGTACAGCGAGTTTGGTAAGATCAAAACCTGTGGTGAGTTGGCCTGCCAGAAGACATTTATCGATCAATAATATGTCAATGGGGAACTCCCCTGGTGAGAATCTTACCAGGGACATGTTTGAGAAAAATGTACAAGATGTGATAAGGTGATTTCAACATCAAGATGGATCAGACCAAACAACTCACCGAGTTCTACCTCTCGTCTCACCACAGCCTACATCACTCGGAGCCTGGTAAGATTCAACCCCATGACCATTTTCCTTGACCACTGCTGAAGTCACAACTTTTTAACGGTCTCAGCCACTGGATACTCCAATATTTCCAGAGTGTAACAGGAGCTATCCAAAGCACCAGGAAGCCTTGTTTAATCAGCTTCCGTTCACATTTATGGAACTTAATTTCCAAAGTTCACTGTGCTCCTTCTAGAGATAAGTACATTCTTGGCCCAATCACAGTTGTATCCTCAGAAGAAGTCAGGTAACTTTTGGGAGCCATGCTTAAAGGTTCATTTGTGTCCATGAGCAGAACATCTGGGCAACTTGGTGGCTCAGTGGTTAGCACTGCTGCCTCACAGTGCCAGGGACCCAGGTTCAATTCCAGCCTTGGGTGACTGTCTGTGTGGAGTTTGCACATTCTCCCCGTATCTGTGTGGGTTTCCTCCGGGTGCTCCGGTTTCCTCCCACAGTCTAAAGATGTGCAGGTTAGGGCGGCTTGGCCATGCTAAATTGTCCTGTAATTCCCAGGGAGGTGCAGGCTAGGTGGGTTAGACATGGGAAACGCAAGGTTACAGGGATAGGGTGGGTCTGGATATGATGCTCTTTG